GTTCGACCAAATCCAACAAGTCCAGATATCCTGTGTGAACACCCTGAAGATTTACAACTTTAGAAATGCTATACAGAAGTAAGAATTACGTTTTTATCTTCACACATCAAACCATCATTCATCGAGCGGTGTGGTAAAGGTAGCATAGAAGAGTCGCTCCCGCCACTGCTGCAACCGCAATCACTGACATTGGCAACCACGACGTGTTCTCAACATCATCCATCTGTCTCTCTGATTCCGTAGTCACAACCTTCTTCTCTGAGTCTCTCGCATCAGCCTCCAGGCCCTCCACCAAAGCGTGCTTCTCTGTGTTACTTCTTTCGTTAGGATCCCCACCAGCTTCTCTCCCCACCATATTCATGAAATCCACCTCAGTGCCTGTGTATGGTTTTACATTTTTCTGAGCGACCAAGTCCACAAGACGAAGGAGCTCTTCAAGCTGATCCCTTTTCTTCATTTCATCTGTGCTTCTGTTGTCTATCAGCATGAGTCTTTTGTCACAGAGCTCAATCGTTTCCTTCAGGAAATTGGGACATTCAGCTGCTAGATAACTCTCCAAAGTTATTCCGGATTCTTCCATTTCATCTCCACCAGTGAATACTACTATCATATAGTCTGTAGCGTTGCTGCCCAGTATCTCTTTCAAGCACGCCACTACTTTCTCGTCCTCTATAGTTATACGGCATCTGCATGAGAAGACTAGGAGGACAGCGTCGATGCCTTGTTGAGTAGACCTCTGTATTTCTTCCCTTATATAACAATTTTCTAGAGACAAATCAGAAAGACCTGCAAGTTGCAACCAAAAATTGTAAAGAACCTTGACAATTGATATGGAAATTCCTTTGATGAAATCATTAACTTACCAGGACTGTCAATTACAGTCATTAGAATCGAATCTTTAACGACATGTCTTTGTGTCTCACAAGCCCTTGTCACACCAAGTGTGCTTCTCTTGGACTTGAAAGCCATTTTTCCTAATATTGTATTACCCGTAGCGCTCTTTCCGTTGCCGGTTTTTCCAACCATAAGCAAGTTGACCGAGCGTCCCATCTTCACAATAAAAATACATAATCAGACACGCATCCATCATCATAAGCTTTAACAACCAATGTATGTATTAGTTCAATAATATTGGTTGGTCAACAGTTGTTCTCCTGATTATCGAACTCAAATATGGAAAGAAAAACAAATGAGGACCTTACCTTAAAGTCAAAAGCAAACATTTCCTGTCCAAAGTTGACAGTAAGCCTGCCGAATCAGAACAAAATGTTAGGGCGTAAGAGAGAGAAGATTCATGGTATTAAAATGAAAGAGAAAAAACAGCATACTCTGCATTTTGGCTATGAACAGCTACTGCAGGAAATAGAGACCTGTGAAGTTCTTGGGGACAGCAGCAACAAGATTTCCATTTTTCGTAGCGTAAAAGAAGTAATCAAAGATGGTAAGAGGCAGGACATACACGTTTACAAGGGATACGTCAAATCAAATCGTTGATCTGTGATAGCAAAACATACGAAACAGTAAACACTTACGTGAAGAAGAACTCTTCAGAAGCGTAGTTTATACCAACTCCAACAGTATCCTTGGTAGAGTATGTAGTTCTATTAGTGTGACCATGTTCTTGTGCACAATGTATGAGTCCTGTATCAGCATGGTAGCTACAGCTACAGTCCTCCCATCTAGCATTACAAAAGAAATATAATAAAGAACAATGATTTAGATGAAATCTCCTTGCTTAATGAATCAAGATATCTAGTCCTTTGCATTCAAAATTGTCCCCTTTATCTACCTAAACCCATTTCCCCCTTTTGGTTAACCCTAATTTCTCAGATACCAAGAAAGCACACGACTAAACCCAATACTAAACACGATCAAGTTCAACTTCAGAATCACATGAATTGGTCCAAGAAAACGAATCTAAGCGAAAAGAAAGCAACTTTGATACGAATCAGTACCTGGGTCGCCTCGTAACCTCCGCGTTTTTCGTCGTGAAACCAATCGCGACGTGTCCATTAAGCCCGGCATTTTTCACCAAGACCTCGAAATAGTAACCCAAACACTTCGTCGGAGCCGGATTGTTCGCCTGAACAACGCCAATGTCGTCGTCAACGCCAAGACCAGTACACTTTACCGAACGCATCTCCGGTGAGATGGATACGCGACCGCCGGAATTGTGGACTGCCTCCAGCTTCGTCGGCAACTCTCCTTCGACCGCCGTCTCAAGCTTCCGAGAAAAAAGCATATCCCATATCTGTGACACCATTTTCAAACAGAGAGAGCCCTACGAAAGCAAAACCTTAGATTCGGGAAGAAAGCAAGAAACCGAAATTGATGAAAGATCGATTTTTTTCTGTTCCTTCTTCACTGACTGACTCGAATGATCTGTTACAACGGAGGTTTATAGAAGGTGTGACAAAAAAAAAAAAAAATTGTAACATTTAAGTAAACCGTCTTATTCTTTCTCAAAATAAGTAAACCGGTAATTGCAAATTAGCCAGAAATGGTTTACAACAAACCAACAATTTACTCATCTTTTGCTGCTCTAGGGCGGGTTATATTAATTAAATCATGTTTAACTAGATAAAATTTTGGTTCATAAACCAAACTTAATCCAAAACTAAAAAAGAAGTTAGTTAACTCATAAAGAAAAATGATTAACTTTGGCAAAAACAGTTGATTAACTTTCTTAGTGATCGCTCACGATTAGTTTAGAACTTAATCTTTTGCGTTATATCAAATAAGAAAAGCATGTGATGGATCTTCACATGCATGAAATGATCCAAGCTCCCCAGACTCTAGATCAAAGTAAAATTATCAAGATCGTACAGGGTTGGGTGTTCAATCTTTTCTTGAACCTCATGTTAATTGAACCCGGTATGATTAATTCCTAGTCTACACAAATCAGTCTCTAAACCGGCGATGCATTGATTAAACCGGAAGAAAAAAAATTATTTATGTACAAATTAAAGTACACAAACTATAGTCGAGGAAAGCAATAGGATCCGCGTTAATACGCGGATAAATACTATACAAATTAATAAAA